TGTTAAGTGGTTACTGGAGCCCATAGACATCTACGACGTAAAAGCGCCACCCACCTTGAGATATAAGTTCTAAGGTCTCAAGTATAGTTTCATAGACTATTAAGAGGAAGCGGATACGCATAAAATTTTTTGTTTAAAACCGTTTTTTTTTATATTTCGACATTAGGTATACTGTTGTCAAGTGTTTTTCAAACCTTCACAGTGGAGTACGAGAGGAACAATCTCAGGTGTGACTATGAATACATAATGTAAAAACAGGTAAAAACTCATGAAATTTACAATTGATGGATGTCAGTCAGACATCGGAAAAATATTGAATTTTTAGTTAATTTTTAGAAATCTCATAATTGATACGATTATTAATTTACCAGGTATATAAATTTAAGCAAGGTACGAACTAGAAGGAATATTTCTTCATCACCCCGTCTACACCCAATACTGAATGTAGGTCTCTTCATTTGCACTCCATTCTTTTCGGTCTCTTGCCTTGCGTTTAGTCCCTACCAGCTATTTTGACCAGGTCATCAGTCTACCTCATTGGTTTTCTTCCCATGTTACGACGTCCAGTACGAGGACTCCACTCCGGTAGTTTTATGCACCGCCGATTGTCAGTGGGATGGCACTTTTTTTTTATTGCTTAAATGGGTGGACGAGATCACAGCCCACCTAGTGTTAAGAGCATATCTCAAGGTGGGTGGCGCATTTATGTTATAGATGACTATGGGCTCCAGTAACCACTTAGCACCAGGTGGGCTGTGAGCTCGTCCACCCATTTAAGCAATTAAAAAAAAAACATAACGGGTCAAATGGCCTATTTTGGACTTTTGCATTGAAACCTACGATCTTATTGCTTTTGCACATTCATTACTTTTTCTTACGAATTAGAGTCTACCAATAACTACAATCTATCTATCAAGAAATAGGTACCCGTAAGTGTTGGTATGATTAGTGTTAACAGTACACGTGGTTGATGATTAGCGTTAATAGTACACGTGCCTGACACAATATTATTGGGCACATTCTATCAGTCCTTCTATAATTTCTGTACTCTACAACCGAACCACGAAACGCATCGAAGACAATAAACTATAAATAGCGGACGTACGTGGAGTCCGAATAGTCGGCTCCAGATGGCCGGGGATATCCTGTCGGAGCGAACTCATGTTAATTATAGTCGGTAAGTGGGCACGTGTTTAGCTCGAAGCCAACACTGGAGATCTTATTCATTGTAAATACATACGCTCGTAATATGTGTGGCTTGTTTAAAAATACATACATTACAATTTAGGTTTACACAGAAAATGTCAAGCATAATTATGTAAACTAGAGGTCCCGCAGTAGTCGAAATTCGACTATAATTAATTGGAATTGTATAATAAATTTGTACACTATTATGATTGTATTTTATACTTCTATAATCACAAATTTCGCCAAGGCTACACTATAAAAAGTATTAATAAACACAAACAATATTTAATTTTAATGTATTCCCAATTTGACCACAGACGTCAAGAACAAAAGTTTGACAATTAATAGTATTCATGCATGTGTGCGTCAAATACATGGTATGTAGTGTGTGTAATGTTTTCTTTATTGATTTAATGTATCTTTTATGCATTATTTTAACAAAATATTAGCATTGTGCACTTCTTCTCTATATTCTCTATAAGTGTGGAAAATTTCATACTCCTCCGTCCGCGCAATTTTCGTAAAAAGAGATACAAAGTTTTTGCTTCACGTATTAATATATAGATTTGTTTTTTTTTCGGGCAGGTACCGTAATATTTCTACCAATATTAGTGTCACTATACCTACATCTATATTACGAAGTAATCTTCGCATAGTGACCTGCTGACAAATCTATCAAACCATTATGTAGAACTCCGCTTCCAACAGTCAGGAAATAACACACAGATTGCAGTAGTTCACTTCCCGAGCGCTTCTTCAAACGAGGCTTGTGGAGAGTATTGAGCGGTAGGCAGCGGCTTGGCTCTGCCCCTGGCATTGCTGAAGTCCATGGGCGACGGTAACCACTCACCATCAGGTGGGCCGTATGCTCGTCTGCTTACAAGGGCAATAAAAAAAACAACTTAATACTGTATTGCTTTATTTGTAACTCCACTTGTACAATCTTTAGCTACGTGCTCACTACAGAATACACCGCTTTTTCTTCCGTTTTTTCAGAGTAGTTACCGCCTTTTTTATTATATCACGTCCCCACTACAGCCATTGCTCCCACCAACAGTGTCGCTATTTGGCAATCTGATAATTGTCTTAATTTTAACATGATACATTTTATTTTAATTATTTTACAAGAAACCTTACAACTGTTTATTAATTGATAGACAAAAAATACCTAGTAAATTTGTGAAATTATTGTCGAAATGCATACTTTGCCAAAGAGCCTGTGTGGTAGGAGCATCTTGGTCGCATGACGATGACCTCATTAATCTACAATCAGACGACTCATCTGTATTCCGTAGCACGGCTGATGTCCATTAGCGACTGTGACTGCTTACTATTAGTTGCAATTCTACATAATACCTACCAGTTCTAACTCAGCCATATCTGACACCGAACTGAAGGTGAACTCACACCTCCGCTTATAGTTGGCATAGCCAACGATTAGGCAGTCAAATAAAGAAACGTACTAAAGAGAAATTATTTATCGAAATACGTTCTGTAAGCTTCGATAAAATTGGTATAGCAATTGTCGAAATTAGCGTATAAATATACCAACAAAAGTCCGTTGAAAATTTTCTTCTGTATGCAGAAGGTCTATTGTTATCGAAACCAGCAACGAGTATGAATGAAACTTAATAAATTAGATCGTGTAAGTTAATACACAAACATTTGAACAGCGCTCGTGACGCCGTGACTATTTTAGGCACGTGGTAATTGAATTCCGAATTATTACTATATATCTTATTGACACAATGTCTATGGGTTAGTTCGTTCTACTAATAGCATTGTAAGATAACTTGAACATAAGCTCCGGAGAGGATTGTTAAATAGTTCAGCGTTGAACAAATTTGTATGAGTTTATTTATTAACTGCTTATAAAATGTTCCACACCTCTGACAGGAAGTCGGACATCCGTAACAAGTGTTGGGCTTAACACACGCTGACTGATGCCACGATGTTCATGTTCTATTTATTTTTAAGGAAACTCCTCTTTGAAACACATAAATAACTGGACTTATCAATGTGTCAGTTTAAGACGAAGGGAGTGAGATAATGTATTTATTTTCGAACGACTTCAAATGTTTGTAGCAGCTGGTTTTTCGTGTTTAAATTTAAGAATGCGCTCGTTTTATGTTAGTATGATTTTTTACACTTTCATATCAAAAATTATGGCGGGTGAATTAATTTCTCTACCTATTCGCTGTTAACTTAAGGGTCTTGTTTTCGGGCAGGAATCTCATTTGAGGTAACCGCGCCTAAGGGGCACGCAGGATTTGTGGGACTTGACGGTTTGCAGATGTTGGGTGCAGACCGCGGGCCTAAGGATATTTTAAGGGCTATTACAACTTCGCGCGGACGGATGACGGGCTGAACCTGAAAGCATTTACTAATACCAGCAGAAAGAGCAGTGCTCCGTAAAATCTATCAGGAATCGCCACCAACTAAGAAGATTCGGCGAGAAACTCAATGGGCTATGTCTATGGGAAGTCACAGGACACTCTTAGTAAAGTATAAACACAATTTTGTTTTCAATATAATACTTAATGTCAAATTCAAAACTAGAATGTCACTGACAATTCGATTAAACTCTGGCATATCTAAACTAATATATAAATCTACAGTAGTGTTTACGGATGTTCCGTTATAACTACTGAACCGTGCATCCATTGACTTGAAACTTGGTATCCATGTAGAAAATACATGTATTTAATGGGTAGGCTAATATTTGTATGAGTGTTGGACTCCCTACACCAGTTGCGGGGTCGTTAATTATGAGAATCTTTGTGGGGGTGAGAAATAATAATGTTAATTTTAAATGCCCAGCGAAGCGGACGGGTACAGCTAGTAGAATATAATATTTGTTCTCCAGTTTAATAAGTAAAACAAGAAATCTTTGTATCAATTCAAGGAATGGACACATATGTTCTCTACCCACTCGAATGCGTGTGTGGAGTGATTTTTTTTGTCTCAAAAAAAGACAAATACAAGCACATTGTGTTGAATAATGACACCAATGTTCACATCTGGCATACAAATTCGGTGACAAAGCTCGCGTTGCGTCAGACCTGTCACTACACGCCAAAGGCTTTAAAAAAAAGACAAAAACCCAGAACTTTAATAATCACTTTAAAGTTCTTCATTCATATATCGAGGAGTCAATAGTTATTTGCGACATTTTTGCATATTTACAGGAGAGCAAATTAAAGTTTAAAATTTGGAAAAAATATCATAACAAAAGAACTTATTGAGTTACATGAATGAAGTAAACTTAATTGAAGTTCAATTAAATAAAACGCACCTTTAATAAAGAATAATGTCGCGTATAAAGCGAAATGTCGCTTAAACCAAATAGCCTAACCAAATAGCCACGGTGAAGGAATAACATCGTGTAATAAAAATCAAACCCACAAAATTATAATTTGCATAATCACTGGTGGTAAGACCTCTTGTGAGTCCGCGCGGTTAGGTACCACCGCCCTACCTATTTCTGCCGTGCAGCAGTAATTGCTGCTTCGGCTTGAAGGGTGGGGTAGCCGTTGTAACTATACTTGAGACCTTAGAACTTATATCTCAAGACGGGTGGCGCATTTACGTTGTAGATGTGTATGGGCTCCAGTAACCACTTAACACCAGGTGGGCTGCGAGCTCGTCTACCCATCTAAGCAATAAAAAAAGCCTTTTACCCCTCGATATATATGTATATTACATAACTTTTATAATTTATATAGTGAAATATATACATATATATAGTTCGTCTGTAGCCCAGACATTGCAAATACATTGCATCATAGGATAACTACACCTTCGAAGGTCATTTAAAAGTATCCATTTGTCAACTTGTAATCTGAAAACAAAATGTATCAATTAAAAAACATTTCTAAGAGATCGTATTGTTCTTCTTTGTATTTTCCTCACTAATGAGGATCGTGACCTATTATGATTTGTTTCTATTTACTTCTGTCCTGCGTCAGCTTAATAGATCCTGGCAGAGTTTGCCCATCTCTAGTATTCGGCCGCTGGATCGCTTCCCGTGCATCTATACCACGATCGACTGCTCCGCTATTTTTTTTCTTTTTTTTCCTACCTATGATGATATGATAGCCTTGAGAGGCTATTTCAGCTTCACCCTAACGTGTGCAGGTGAGCTCACGGGGTTCAACCGGAGTGTTGCTAACACTGACCCTAGCAAGATCAGTGCTCCGCAGAATCTACCACCGGATCGGAAACGCGGCCCACTGAGAAGATCCGGCGAGAAACTCAGCGGGCTTGCTTCTCTAACTCACGCATATTTGACCGCGTTATATGTCCAAAGAAATTGATATTCTCGGCATAGAAAGGTAAGTGGTGTTTTGATATGGATTTCCTTTAAAATCTTAAAGAGATCGTATAAACGTATGATAATAAATTCAAAATGTCAACAGTCCCGTTGAAATGTAATAATTTAATTTGTTGCCAAGTCTATAAGTCAAACAGCTTTGATATTTTGGATAACGAGATGTTATATGGATCTCGTGGGACATGTTAAGATGTGTACGGAATGTGTGTTAACTAAGAGTTGAGTTTAAAACTATTAATCATAAATTCAACGGCTTCAAACGAGGAGTAGCAAGTTTTCTAACGTTTTTTCGATTCTGGTTTTTTTTTCTACCCTACCCATGCTGATAGCCTTGAGAGAATCTACCACCGGATCGGAAACGCGACCCACTGAGAAGATCCGGCGAGAAACTCAGTGGGCTGTGCGATTCTGGAAGACACATACGACCCGAGACTTCAAATATAAAATAGTTTTAACAATGACACGGACTTAGATCGGGAATTATTAACCAGCTAGCTGCGTTACCTACCGCTTCATAATAGCGATAAGACTGGCTAATGTACCATACATTTTGTAAGTAGTATTTTTAATAGTTATGTAAGTATATAGTAAGTAGCATTTTATTGAGTGCTACATCCCGATTGCCACCAGTGCGGACATGCAAATACAGTTAACTGTTAGATAAAATTGTAGAATAAGCGGTCTTATCGATAAAAGCGAAGTCTTCCAGACCACGTGTTTTTATTTCAATTAATTCTGTAAAAGATACAGTAGGTATGTTGCGGTGTAGTATTCTTTACAATACTCAGAGTGACCTATCAAAACACTAAACCTAATGCCTAATAGCTTACTATAGTAAAAATATATTATATGTTGGCACACGTCAGGGATGGCTGAGCGGTAGTTTCCGTCATCACTCGTATTTGGTTGAACTCAGTTTATAAAAAGTCAATAAAACCTTTTGAATAATAATTATTGAAACTCAACACACACAACTTTCACAATGACAGGATAGACCGACAGTTTCGTTGCACATACCGACAGACCGACTGACTGACTGACTGACTGAGACTCACTGACTGAGACGGACGGAATGACTGTCTGACACGGAATGCCACGACTCTGTCCACGTACCGCCATTTTATACTGTGGCGTTACGGAGTCTACCCTTCATTTTGTGATATTTATCAAAACAACATTTCATCATTTAAAATAATAATCAAAACCACCGTCTTAATATTACTAAAAGTCGTTATCCACGACATANTGACTGAGACTCACTGACTGAGACGGACGGAATGACTGTCTGACACGGAATGCCACGACTCTGTCCACGTACCGCCATTTTATACTGTGGCGTTACGGAGTCTACCCTTCATTTTGTGATATTTATCAAAACAACATTTCATCATTTAAAATAATAATCAAAACCACCGTCTTAATATTACTAAAAGTCGTTATCCACGACATATATAATAGTAAAATATTTTTTGTGAGCCTTCAGAGATCCTGATGACTTTGACACCGATTCGGAATGCAGATACACCACTGAGAAGAATAGTCAAGAGACTCGGAGCTTGCGTTTTCTCAAAAAATGTATCGTATATCGCTACACAATAATGTACAAAATTGTTTAAATCAGTGAATCCATAAAAAAAAACATAATATATAAAACCGCAAACCAGGACAGGTGGGCGAGCAAAGGCTCAGCCAGCGAGTATGAATAACAAATGACCATATTCATATTAAGTAAATATTTTGTTGTTACTAAAAACCAAGAAAGATACGTGTAGAATTTTCTTCGGTTTCCGCGAATCGTATTATTTTTACGATTTAAACCCGGGTCTTTTTTTGTCATTTATATTACTTCTAGTGTTTTGAATACTTTAGAAATAGCTTTTTTCGGTTACCAAAACGCGAGAATATCCCATAAAAAAAATTCTACCAATGCTGATAGCTTTGAGAGCCTATTTCAGCTTCTCCTTGACGCGTAGGTGCGCTCATGGGGCTCAAACCGGGAGTGTTGCTAACACTGGCCCTAGCAAGACCAGTGCTTCGCAGAATCCACCACCGGATCGCAAACGTGACCCACTGAGAAGATCCGGCGAGAAACTCAGTGGGCTGTGTCTGTGGGTTAATTTACTCGTCGAGTTCTTCGTCGGAAGCGACGGGTTCGGCGAGCACTTTGACCGGTGCTTGAGGTACCTAAAAGCACCGTTAATGGATCTGGAGGATCCGTAATGACGTCTTTATGGCGACGTTGACTGTTTATCATTCGGTCCACAGGATCGGGTATGAGCCATAAAAGTAGTTATAATTAAATATCGGTTGTTTCACGAAAATTATGTGTGTACGCACTATGTTCCTATAATTATTGCGAAACAATCACGATTTGAACAGGCGTTATATCATTCAAGTACAATTTACACTTAGACCTAAAGCCTCAAGTTCGGCGACGGTATTTGTGAATGTGCTTAGGGCCTCTAGTAGCTATCCGTTTAAATCAGACCGTCATACCCCCACTTATACGAATAAAACAGTGGTCAACATCCTCGCGTCATTTCAAAGTTTTCAATGACGCCATCTTACTTTTATTGTACAGTCTAGAACATTAATAACTTTTGCGTTATTCATTTCTAGAATCGATAACAACAAATCCTAAAAGTTTAGCAATTAAACAAATATGTTAATTGTGAAAGTTACACCTAATTAGCTGCCAAGTTAAATGTGAGGGCAATTTAAACTAATTTAGCTTCACATCCGGCTCATTGGTTGTCAGTTCATCGGAACCTCAGCCTTTTTTGCTTGAGACGCTCTCTCGCAAAGAGATGCGTTACAGGCTCGTGGAATGTTTGACGGCAAATTTCATGGCTTAAGTTACGGTCACGATACGTGGACGGGACGTCAAATTAATATTTAAAATTTAAAAAAATGGTTGTCTCCAAAGTCAGTTTAGGGACGTTAGTTTTACGTGATATAACGTCATAAAGAAATATTGATGAAAAATTGCATACTTTTATGAATTGAATTCAATAATTATCACTGAATTATCATTATTTTGGATGATACAAAGAAGGAGTTCATTGAAAATTACAAATTTTTCGATAAATTAACGCTTGGGCCGATCGTGTCTCTATCGCTTGTTCCGCGCTCTCGCTTACACGTTCAGGCTCAGGCGGAACGTAGGCGGAACGTGACACTTTTTCGTGCGTGTAGCCAGTGTTCATAGATTTATAAGACGTTAACACCTAAAAAAAAACGCGTCGAACTAAAGAGAAATCAGTGAAGACTTCGTATTCTTAGTGCATGAGAAAACTCTTGTAGGCAGCGGCTTGGCTCTGCCCTTGGCATTGCTGAAGTCCATGGGCGACGGTAACCACTCACCATCAAGTGGGCCGTATGCTCGTCTGCCAACAAGGGCAATAATAAAAAAAAAAAACGGTGATGATACTCAAGCGTATTAGAAGCTAAATCTTTCTCATGTCAAGTCAACTTGAATTTATCACGAAAATAATTATTAAAAAATAAAAAGTAGAACAACGAGTGGAGTCAAATTATAAATTATTTATTGTTGAAGTTAGTAAATTTATATCCTTTTTAAACTTAAAGTATTCAGTATTGTTTATCGAAGATGTACATTCAATAATTATCATTTAATTACTAATAGTTTGTGAGAAATTCAATAGTTTATTTATGCTTACTTCGGTATTCACTATAAATTCATTCAAAAAATCATATATTCATTCTGCAACATTCAAAAGCGGCAGCCAAATAACGAAACTAAAATGCACTAACAAAACAGGTAGATAATCTTATTTTTTAGGACGCAACATATCCACATTAAGCCCTTCCCTTCTCGCAGCGGAAACATCAAGTCGTTTGCTGACATGTGTCGCGTCTGCATGTGTCTCGGCGTGGACGTGCGATTGATGACGTCATCACTCATTTCGACCAGACAGTTTTTGCAAACGCGGACCCCACAGATTGCGTGTGCGATGTTTTTTAGTTTTCCACAATAATAATGTCGATGATTGCCGGTCCGGTTTCCTGTTCTGCGGTGTCGTCGACGGGTGTTTAATAAAAATAAATACTCCGAAAGAAAAGACAAGGACTACTAGTTAAATAAATTTGGTATTTTTTGAGGTGGTCTTCGGGCAGATTGATACAAAGCCGATTGGGCGTCAGGCATCACATATAAAAGCAAAGATGTGTAATGAGTTTATTATAATATTATTAATAAGATATTTTCGTAATAAATAATGATATCCGTATTTTGTTTGACCGGAATTGTTTGATTATTAAAAACTAATAAGAAATTGAAAATCAAAAACCATGTAAAACAATAAATAGGTCTCTCACAGAATTGATACATAAAAACATTTTTGTATAATATTTATTCACCTGTAAGTAATTTGATATGAAAAAAGACTAGTTAATCGGCTACAGAATCACACCTTTCATGTAAAAAATTCATCTAACGTCCTTTATACACTGTCGAAATGCAAAACGTAGAGCGATGAATGCTTAGACACGGCCATCCAAAAATTTTATGTTACTTAATTTTGTTTTCTTAGATGTTAATTTAATTTATTTTTTTAATTTTTAATCAATATGATCGATCTCCTAGAGATGCTGCAAATACTCCTCAATAATAAATCCGTATAATATTCACGTATCGTCTTAACTCAAGCCTCATGTTAAGTCACCGTTATTCATAGGTATATATGTGCAGTGCCAGGGGTACAGGGCTATTGTATATTCGTATGACGTATGCCTCTAAATAATCGTAATAACATATGCAAAAAATTATCGGAATCACAATTTTCTAATAAAGACAATATAAGCACAATCTAAATTTTCTATCTATCAGTTTAATCCCGCTAATAATACAACTTCATTTGTATGGCAACCAATGTTATCATGTTTCGTTTTCCTACACAATAAACTTGAATGATTCATTACTGCTTCATAAATTTATTCAGGCTTATTCAAGTTAAGTGCATTTCTAAAAGCCATGGAAAGTGTGTAGCGGCTAGCTCTTAAGGCTTCGTCAAACAGAACGCGTAATTAGCGCGCGTCAGAGCGCTAAACTGACACCGCGCTATGACGCCGAGATGTGTTGTACAACTTTGTTTTTTTTTTTTTTTTTTTATGATTGAAAGATTACTGGTGGCCCGGAGGCCTTTCCTGCTTCACCAGGACAGGTGGGCGAGCAAAGGCTCAGCCAGGAGGGGTGGGATTTGCTAACAACTGCCTGAGCGCCTCCGAAGGAGACCTAACAACTCAAGAGCAATTGCTTCGCGAATGAATCTACTACCGGATCGGAATCGCGACCCACTGAGAAGATCCGGCGAGAAACTCAGCGGGCTGATGCATGGGTTAGGTTGCNGGGACGCAATGCAGGGCTCTTCTATAGTAAATGACGGTACCACCACCACGAGCAGTGAGCCTGTCGTTCCTAACCATGTTATAGTTCGCGATTTTAGGGTCGCGACGCGCGGGCTTGAGTAGGGTCTCCTGCACTAAGAAAATGTCAATTTGATGGTCACGCAAAAAATCACAAACCTGATCACGTTGATTTGCGAGACCGTAAGCGTTAAAAAATCCTATTGTAACGGATAAGGGTTTTATTCTACTAATGTACGCCATTGATTACCAGCGGAGTGAGGGGAGGACGTACGTATTTAACGACGCGTATACGTCAGCGTATTCTTGCACAACGGCGATGAAATGTTGTGCAGTGGAGGCGGCGCGAATGGCGTCACCCAAAGCGTTAAGACGCTCAAAGTTGATCGACTGAAAAAAGTCGATCGCTAGAGCGAGATTTTCGGACGCGGTCGGAGGGCAGGTCGCGGGGGTGGGACGAGTCGCGGGGGAGAGAGTTGTAGCCGTGTTCGTGTACGGCAACGGTTTAGCCCAAGCCGAGACGCTGGGCACCGACGCCGGCACGAAAGCAGGCTTAGCCTTCGGCACAGAGGGTACCGTGGCTTTGATGTCTGGGCCGGAAGCTCGGAGGCGGTTTTGACGGGCGACGCGGCTATTTATTTTTGGAGCTCGGGGGCATCCACGGTAGTTCGCGGGATGACCTTGTGTTCGGCACAGGACACAGCTAGGCGGTTCAGTGGCGGTTTTCTGGTCGCGAGTACAAAGGGTCGTGGCGTGATCGCCCAAACACTTAACACATCGGGGGCGCGCGTGACAGTTACGGGAAGAGTGCCCGTACAGTTGGCAGTTATGGCACTGACTAGGAGTGCCTTTTTTATGGGGGACTTCGACGGCAATACCGGAGAGCCTACAGACGGTCCGAATGTTAAAAATTTGCTTACCCTCGGGGGTAGGCTGGAGGGCGACTAGAACCATATTGTATGGCTCCCTACCGCGGCCGGTGTGCATGCGGTGCACGGAATTTACTGGTAGGCCTTGTTCTATCAGATCGGCCTTGACGAGATCGGCATCTAGCTCCTTCGGGATTCCACGTATGACAACGCGGAGTTCACGCTCCTCCTGGAGCGTATAAGTGTGGAAACTTATACGCTCCTTTCGGAGGTAACTTGAGAGGGCCCTATGGTCGTCGGGTGTCGTTACTTTTATTTGAATCCCGTTGGCGAGATTACGGGCGCTGGCAAAATTAATATTTTTGGCCTTAAGGGCCAGGGAAACTCGGTCCCAAGCTGCCTTCTCTTGAAGGATAACCGGGGGAGGGGTCTGAGTTTTAGATTGCGCCACCGGACGCGGCGACGGTGTGGCACGGACAGCGGGAGCGACGGGGGTTGGAGGGCGGGGACGCGACGCGTTCGCGGCTTTGCTTACTTTAGCAGCCGCGGGAGCTCGGGCCTCCGCAGCGCGCTTTTTACCTTTTTGGACTACTGTGAATCCATCAGTCGGGGCGGCGGAGCAAGGGTCGACCTCCATGTCCGACTCTGAGTCGGATGAGGAGGGCGTGGGCGACTTGCAGGTGGGGGCGGCAGGCGCGACGTAGGCCACGGAAGATCGGGTGGACGCACTGGACGACGCGGCCGCGACGTTTGTTACGGATGAACGCAGGACTGGAACCGAGGCCGCAACGGTCGGCACAGGAGTTTTGCTCGCGAGTATCGGGGACACGGGAGCGGCGGGTGCGACGGAGGCCGCGGGTGAGTTCGCGGCGTGATTGGTCTTAAATTCTAAAAATTCCGACGATAACGACGGGTACCTCAGGCGGAGGAATTCCGCAAACAGGTCGATCGTGGACTCCATTATCACGTGCTCAGGGGGGGCTACCCCGGGACTTTAAGCACACTCGCCTTACGGCGAGGCCCCAATATTATAATAATCGCAATTAATTACAGCACACAGTCGTCTGCTTGCAAACGAGCCACTAAGTTACCGAACGAATTCTAGGAATTTAGGGGTCCGCCCGCTCACAGACGGCGATGCGACGCAATTAACACAGGTAGTCACTTCCGAGAAAACACTTGGACGCCAGATGTGCTCCGAACTGAGGTCGGGCGATCGAACGGTCGATGGGCACGTCAGCGCGCGGCGGGTGCCTGAATCGGAATGTGTTGTACAACTATGGTAACATACCGTCAAACAGAGCCCCAGCGCTATAAGTACGCAGCGCTCTGTCGCGGCGTTAGGATGCTTTGACGTCAGGCGTTGTAATTTTTTACAAATTTTATTTTAGCGTCCGAGTGAATGTGTATTAAAATACTAGATAATGCCCGAAAAAATGATATATATAGTTAGAAAATACCCATGCTTATACAATGCCACATCTGAATCACTCGATTTCTTAATACTTTTAAATTTTCACACTGCTATCGAAAGGCACTATGAGTTGGCGAATGCGTTGCGTCAAGGAGCGCGTTAGACTCATCTAGTCAATTTGAAGAGCGCGACGTTAAGTACGCGTTCTGTTTGACGAAGGCTTTATAGAACGCAAGATATTTGACAGATGCCTGAATCTCGCTAATTGCATTTTCAAGATAATTTTTCTTAACTCCCTATCTAAAGGCCGGTAGCATATGTGCTATTCCAGCTAAGCTAGGGCGTGGATAATTTTACATATGTACAAGTTTCGAACAATAACGTTTGGATGGTCTATCGAGCAATTACGCAATTACGTCTTTTGTATCCAAATTTTTTTTGCATCACATTATCTGTGTAATTAAGTTTTGCGTGACACATGTCAAATTAAATATTGACATTAGTGAAACATCGCAGCTTCAGTTTTATTTGCCATGCAGATGTTCAAATCCAAACATGAACTTGTGTAGATCCAAACACAACTCACTCTTTTACCTGATGTTTCAAATCACTTTGGGACATTAATGTGCTCCTGTACCCACTTGTCTGCCTATTTCATTCAAATGGTAGTAAAAAACCAATAAGAGAAATTTCAAAGGATGCATTTGCTAACACAAAATCGTTGCAAATAATATGAGTATTAACACGAAAAAAAAAATCAAGGACTTGATATAATTGTAATAAGTATTGACGTTTAAAAACAGAAATATTGATATTAAATATTCTGTTATCGTTACAGTTATTATCAAAACAAACATCACTGGATTGAGAAATTATTTATCGTTTATTATGATCACTATCAAACACCTGTATAAAAAAGTAATCAGCTTGTTTTATACTATCTTAACGACTGCTACAAAGGTCAGATTCAATGGAAAATTTTAAGGTTTCTCCAAAAATGAGGTTTTTTTAACCCTAAGATATTAATCGAATAAAAAAGCCACAGTAAACAATATAACTCAAACTCTTAAGATTAAATAAACTTCATGCATTTTTTTATATTGCACAAAATTAAATTTTTATTCAAATGCTAGATATATTAGAATAGATAGATAGAGAGATATAGATTAGATAGAATATATTTGAGTATCAAAAGAACTGAAAACGCACTAGCATTTGAAATGTTATTTCGCATTTGGCAGTATTTACATGACAAATAACTATACTCGGCGCTAACTCCATTATTATACTCTTACAATGCTTAGATATATAGTTTTGGTTGTTTAACTATATTTCAAAACGTTTATGCAAAATTGACGTATCTCTGTAAATTTGTCATCTATATAATATTTTTAGCCAAGCATTTATTGATCGAAGACATATATGTAGATTAGTTTTTTCGTTCGCGCTTTACCCCGTCTCAAATCCTAAATCTGATTAAGTCAAAATCTTGTACAGCTGTTCTTGGCACTATCGAAGCATATTATCAATACATTTTTCTTGACGCGAACAGATAGACGATTGATCGCTCTATTTACTCCTCAGTAATAGTACACATAAAAAGTTATATACTTTGATAATATTCAACGGCAATTCTTTTCACAAAATTATTATAGTTTACTATTTTACGATTTTGTTTCGTTGCACATAATTGTGCATTTTCAAAAATGGTATTTTTTTATGTGCCCTCTCTCTTTCACGTTACATCCGAATTTTTGGTAAAAAAAAATAAAAATATACAAATACGACACTATTCTTTATGACCCTGCACAAAGCTAAACCTAGAGCGAAGATAGTTATATATAAACATAGAAAATACCAACAAATTTGAGGGAAACATTAAATATTATCGGATAACAAACATTTTCTTTTTCACATTATTTACGACTACCCTTTGTGACACTGAAAATCTACACTGCAAAGAAAAAACCAAAATATTCAGTTTTGTATTATTGGAACGAAGTTCCTTATCGCACGTTGTGAAAGGGGGCTAGACGGAAAAAATTCTTACGAAAAGTTGTCACGACACTTTTTAGATCCGTCATTCTGACCAATCAACGTGTAGGCGCTTATCGCGTGACATTGCTCGTATCCGATTGGTCCGCGTAATGAGTACAGTTTCTCGAGATAGCGTTTCAACAATAGTAATTNTGACATTGCTCGTATCCGATTGGTCCGCGTAATGAGTACAGTTTCTCGAGATAGCGTTTCAACAATAGTAATTTAGTTCATAGTATTGTTTTTTTCTTCTTCATAATGCCGTAATTTATTATTATAACTTAAAAAAAATATTACAATTCCTTCACTAATTAATCGAAAGGAACTTCGTTCCATCCGGGTGTCCCTTGACACCTCTGACTTTTTTTATCTCCGTTACAAATAAAATTGTATTTAAATGAATTGCGATTAAAAAATCTAATCTAAAGAAAAGTCTTTGGTTGTAAATTAGTTTATCAAAAAAATATTTTACGTTCTGGCCACTTCTATCTCTTATAAGCTTTATGTTGCACAATAGAGTATCCGCACAAGAGGCAGGTGTTGGGATAAAAAACGAAAGGATTCGCCGCGGACACACGCAGGTGCGTCCCGATCAGGTGCCTTGGATTTAGGTTACCAGGTACTAGACGGATATTTGAATGCGTTTTTGTTATGTGATAAGTTGTTAATCATAGTAGTATCACGGCTTGTGTTATTATTTCGTAACATGACTCCAATGGTATGAGACGTGGTTCATATTTTTTTCGTGAAACCCATTAACGATATCCAATTAAAGGATTACTTTTTGAAAATTACTGTTCATTTTTATTGCTGTCGAAGTTAGACGAGCGTGTGGATGACCTGATGGTGAATTGTCACCGTCGATCCTAGACATCAGCAGTGATAGATAGCCAAGCTACAGCACAAACACTGCGGACTCTTTTAAATCTTTAACTACTTTTTTCTTACCTGTTCATTGGTAGCCTATAGGGCCATTCCAGTTACGCCCGGACTTTATCTATGGTTGTCGACATTAGAATGGAGTGAAATTTTCGTCAGATACATACATACATACTTTGCCTTTATCTCGAATGTTAAGGGCTCATATTCCGACCGCGCACAAGAAATGGTAATTTAAAACATGTTTTTTTAATTTAATGTTAGGCATTTTGTGTTTACACAACACATATTTGTGAATAATATGAATGAAAACCCGTGCCAGAAGGCTAAAGCCTCGTTTGAAGAGGGTTACGTCATAGCGCTCAAGGAAACACGGCGAAAATCATCTACAATCTTCTTGCCTTTCGCAATGCAATAGTGTATTTTATAATAATTTTATTGAGTTTCCGTAATGAGTCAAATAATACTTTGTAAATCGACCTAGATTATTCCATAAAAAAACCATTTTAAGTCTGTGTAATCGTATACCGTAAATTTTAATCTTTACCCTATAGGTCCGGCTAAATAGAGTACACTGATAAAATTCGTCATTTGCGTTAATTAAATCATTCATCAAGTTTATTTGCGTTCAAATTACGAAGGGTTAATCTCGTAATGTAATTATTAAGTAATAAAGCATCGTAATCGGATTTACATTCGTTACAAAAAAAAGGGAAGACGCGGATCACCCATTGTTCTCTAACAAAGGGCTACCTGTTCCCGTCAGACTGACACATTGACATATATGCGCCGGCGCAGGCAAAAAAAACCCTCAATTTTTTTGCGTTAACGCTATATTATAAGAGACTATTGAACCAACTGAGTCTTTCACTGGATCTTTTCAGTGGGTCGCAATTCCGATCCGGTAGTAGATTCTGTGAAGCATTGCTCTTGCTAGGGCTACTGTTAGCAAATTAATTCAGTTTGAGCCCACGAGTTCAGCTACCCATCTGCGAGAATCTGGAATAGTCCCTTAGACTACCAGCGAATAAGTAGGAAGAAAAAGTGACGATAGAAATTGCCCAGGCAATTTGTTTCATTTTCCGCCACAAACCCAGTTTTAGTTTTAAGATGGTCATCATACAATTTGACATTTTGACTTTCAAGTCTTATGATGGTTACACTGCTTATTTAAACTAGGCTTAGCTAGCCGATTACGACCAGAAGCCCCATTTAAAACTTAAGAACTTAAGACGTAGTACTTAAGAAATCTTCACGATTGACTTCCACGGCGAAGAAATAACATCGTGTAATAAAAATCCAACCCGCAAAATTATAGTTTGCGTAAGTACCACTTGTGAGTCCGCACGGGTACCACCACCCTGCCCGTTTCTGTCGTGAAGCTGTAATGCGTTTCGGTTCGAAGGGTGGGACAGTCGTTGTAACTATACTGAGACCTTAGAACTTATATCTCAAGGTGGGTGGCGCATTTACGTTGTAGATCTCTATGGGCTCCAGTAACCACTTAACATCAAGTGGGTTGTGAGCTCGTCCAACCATCTAAGCAATAAAAATAAAAAAGCTGTTTCATTTCTATTTCTCCCGTCCGTCACGAAAATTAACGTTGTCTTTGAACAGATATTGAGTGATAT